ATGAAGATGGTAAAGTGAAAGGCTGGAAAGAGCCTGGACTCTAAGGACACCTCGGACCTTCCAAACCAACTACAGGACCACCTACCTTCAGATTTCTTGTTAAGTAAATAAGCAAATAAAAATAAAAAATCTAATAGCTCAAGTCACCATTAGATGGGGTTTCTGTTCCTTGCAGTTGATATACCAACTCATTAGCAATCAGGGATTGGGAGAATGGTAATCAAGGTAAGAAAGGTGGGCAGGGGCCAATCATGCAGTGCCTCTTAAACCACGGCATGGAGTTCGGATTTTATTCTAAGAGTAAGGCATTTTAGCAGATGATCCAGTTAATAGAAGTATATCATACAGATCTATCTATATATGTACTTATTATATATATAAAATATAATTCATTATTAAAATAATAGGATAGATATTGACTAAAGATATATTTACCATTGCTATTTTAATTTTTAGAGAAATTACTATGTAGAACCAGATTAATAGAAATAAAAAGCCTCATGAATAACTCATAAAATAATCTTGGCTGAAACTCCCAAATGATAGTAATCTTTATTTATTCTGACCTTTTGTTTGAGAGACTCTTTAACACAGTTTCTAGGTATTGTGTCTGCCCACTTTAGCCATGTCAGAGTCTTTACCAATTATGTTCTGCTTCAGAGGGTTTCCAATTGCCATCTTCAACCACTATGTCTCTTTGAAATAGCCCTCCCCTGCCCCAGGCTTGTCTCTTTGACTTTCATAAGCATGGCTTTCCTCAATGCCTTGGGTGTTGTTTTTCTCTTAGCTGGCACCAAAAGAATCACAAAATAAGGTAGCTTATTTCAAATATTTTCCTCATGGTTGTCCTGTTCCTCCATTCAGGAAAAAGATTATTGGTTACCATGGCAATGAGCTTCCACAGCATTCCATTCGAAGTAACTGCACAGGTATAGCACAAGCTTTACTCCACATTCTTTACAGTGGCTGTTTGCAGATCTGCATATTTTTCCAGCCTGTTCTCTGTAAGCGCAGTTTAAAACAACCAACCAACCTGTAGTTATGCCAGATAAGTTTTTCAAAGGCACCATATCCCCATTAATTCTGAATATTTAAAAAATTTACATATGTAGTTGTACAATGATTTTCTCACAGTACCAACTGAAAACTTGGTATTTTCTTTCATAAGTCTGGGATTATATTTGTATCTCTTTAATAACCATGTTTAGAAAACAAATAATGAATTTATAGTAAAAATCAGAACAAGAGACAGTTCTGAGATTATTTCCTACACACTCTGTTATCATCTTTCCTGATAATAATTCTCTAACTTCTCTCCCTCCACCACTTCAAAAACCTCTGATAAAACAGTGCAGACATTCAGAAGAGTAAAAATTGTCCTCAAGTCATTACCTTGGAGATGCCAAACACACTCCCACCTTTGAGACTATTAACTACTGTTCCTATTCAGAACATTGCTGATCATGATAAAAAATGGTTTTGGACAGGCCAAACACGTTTTACTGGATCCCAATATCTGCTATATTGTGGAGGAGGTGGGATGACTTTGGAGAATTAACCAGAAAAGTTATGTTTCCCTACTATCATTCTTTTTTTTTTAAATCATTACTTTTAGTCTTTGCTGGTTATTTAATTTCTTTATATCTAGAAATCTTGAGATTTCTATTATATGTAGATATATATTTATTTTTACCTATGCCCTTATTTGAAATTATAGTGGTACTTTGGTCATTAAAAAGAGGAAACTTGAAAGGGGATTGCTATTATCTAACGTTAGTTGATTAAAAATAAAATCTGGCTTTAATCCTTTGTCCTGCAAAGTTTTTCTATCTCCTAGATGTCTTTTCATTGAAAAAGACATATGACCAATCTGTGAACACCCATTTCCTATTAAGGGCATGGAAGTAAACTCTGTAACTAAAACAGATGCCTTCAACCCACAGATTCTAAAATCAGAGGGTATTCATAAACCTCTCCACAAATTTTGAGCTCAGTGGGAAGCAGGAACTGTTAAAAATTTGAAACTCTACTAAACTTTTTGCTTCTTCCGGTAAAAGAAAATATGTTACTTTCTAGGAAGCTCATTACTTTAAAAAACTTACAAAGCAATCAGGGTTAGAAATTCATGGCTAGCATTTTGGGTTACATCAGCTCAGTGTTAGAAGAAAAGATATTTACTTTTTGATGGAAAGCCATAGAATGGTTCTCTGAATCCTCTCAAAATTGTGTTAGAATTGTTTCAAGTGAGGAGAAAAAGGCATTTACTTTACTATGTTTTTCTGAGCAGATATTCAATGAAATACAAAATGTCTTACTTTTTCCTTCCGGTACTTGAACGTATGTATTCCCTGATATACTAAACCTATATAAACTAGAAATAAAAATTGACCAATTATTGGCAGAATTTTCTAGATTAAAAGTAGAAGCTGGAGGTAAATAATCATATGAACTTTGAATAATTATATCACAATGCACTATGAATTTATATAGGAAAAAGTTCTAAATTTTCAGTTGACAAAAGAGAAGTTTTGAAGGGATTATGTAGCTTCGAAAAGCAGAAACTCTTAAGGAACGGTCAGCATTCTAAAACCAGGGGAGGCAGCTGATATGCTGTTTTGACAGTTGGGTAAAGACGGGAATAAGATTGTAAACCAGAAGTCATGATAAAAGGGTAGAATGAAGTGTTCGATAATGATAAAATGAGAGCTTTACTTAATATAGACAGAAAGAGCAGGAAAGAGAAAAAGCAATTTATTTCAGATAGGAAATAATTTGTAGAGAAATTTTAGTAGAGTAATAATTTGTATTTTAATTTGCAAGGGCCAAGGGATGATATTATTTGAAGAGTGTCAGTTTTATTATTTTAATATTTTACATGTAAGAAGCTCTATTTGAAATATAAATTAGTACAAGTTCCTAGTGATGTGATAATATATATTAAGCAAATTGTCAAGCAGGAGTCCGCTTTTTATTAACCTTTGTTATAACCCTAAAAAAATTCTTTCAGAATTTCAAATTATAAGCAATATCATGATTTTATGTGAAGATAACCAGAAAGCCCAATTTAGGTACAAATTGGTCCTAACTATTTTGGCTGGTGTCCTTTAATCTTGGAGTTCTAACTTGATCAAGAAAATGTAATTGCACAAAGCTGTAAGACCAATATTCTTTCATGAGGAATCATGTTAGTAGCTTAACATTAAAAACATTTTAAAAAAGCCAAACATGGCATAAATTCTGTAGAATTTTAGCTTTTATGTAAACTGCATTTATATCTATTCATAGTTCTAACAATCACTTTTATAGGTTGCTAATCCTATGTCCTGGATTTTCCAGGTCACTTCAGATTTCAGATATTTTGTCTATTGTCACACGATGTGTCTGGATTTTGGTTTGGAAAACGTGGTCACTGATTTTTATAGACTAATTCTGAAATAGCAATGGCCTTTGGCATTATGCAGTAATTCTATTTCTCGATCATGACTATCAAATTAAATAAAATCGAAGTTATTTAAGTCAACCTAACAACGAACTATCACAATAATATTTTAAAACTTCGTAATTTGCAACTTGAAAAGCAGTCATAACATGATTTATTATACACACAGAGCTAGTAAAGCTATAAATGGTTATTCACTCTTGCCATATAGGAAATGAGAAAACAACATACTTCATAAGTATTGTAATTATACTTTATGTGGCCCAAACTAGGGAAGACAACTAATCCAAATGTGTTTGTGTTAATATTTTTAAAAAGAATTTGGTAGTCTTTATTTTTAATTTCCAGATACAGGAACTCATATTCTTGATCAGAATTGAGAGGGTATGTTGGCATCTATGACAATAATTAAAAGTGAACTTTCTAAGTTAAAATTGACTCATTATCTTATGCCAAAACATTGCTGTTTTGCAAATGAAAACATTTCGATTATTTGATGGCTTTCTCCTCCCTCCTACTTTAATTACTACCCTTTGTAACGTTATCACATTTATGGTTCCACCCTCTATTCTTTGGTGATTTAGGTAGCCACTTGGGGGGTGTTAAAATCTTCTATGTCCAGAATGGCATTTAATAACTTTTTCGACAATTAAGGTGAGTTTTCCCAAGTCTTGTTGGAAATATATGTACCACTAGTGATCAGGCTTTCCTCTTCCATTTCCGTGCTAGTTGGGACTTGAGAAGCCCGGGGATGCTGCTGCAACAGAGGTGGGAGTGGGAGATAGGATATCACCCGCTTGACACTTCGGTACTGTTGCTATGAATGATTCACTCGTGTTTGGCACATTGGTTGCAAGGAAATCTCTACCGCTTCCTTCTTCAAGATCCTTTCGGGCTGTCTCCCGTGCTTTGGCCTTTAAGCAGAAACGAGAGCAGGTGGGCACAGAGGAGCTCGCCGAGTCCTCCACCCCCTGCTCCTTCCCTAATTTAGCAGTACTTCCGGCCGCGTGACATCATCCCCCGCACCCCGGTGACGTGAGCGGCGGGTGACGTGTGTGCGGAGAAGAGCGCGCTGACGTTGCTATTTAAAGGTCCTCCTGCGGGGAGGATGGAGACACAGCGCGAGCAGCTGATGTGGGGTGCGGAGGAGGCTGTGGCGGCCGGGAGCGGAGCCAGCAGCCAGCGGAGGAGCAGAGCGCACGGTCGGCTCGCCGCCGGCCACTAGGGGAGGGGGGAAGGAAGGACGGACGGACTGACGGACCTACCGGCCGGGCTAGCTCCTCACACCGGCCGCCTGGGCTCCTGACCACCAGCCTCCCCGCCGTCCTCGCGGCTGCCGCCGCCTCTCGCTGCACACAGGGCTCCGTCGGGGCCTCGGGACTGGTCAGCACCCAGGCGCCCGGCCGCAGCTGGGCGGCAGCGGCTGCCTCCTCCCCTCCCGC